CTTTTAAGGGGCACTAGCTACGAGATATATAAAAAATCTAATATATGATTTTTTGTTTGTTTAATCACTAATGAAAGTCAAATAGTGAAATAATTATTCGCTTTAGCAGCCAGTATGGTTCAATTTTGTCAAAATGACCTAAGAAACACTGATGATGAATTTTTCACTTGCAAGTGAATAATTCGACCTCATTCAATCCGTACTCATGTGAACTTCAAATTAACCCCTTAGCTAGAGATGGATAACACGTGAATTGTATGTGTAAAGTTATTTAAAGGAAAAGAATGTCAACATTGAAAGTGAAACAAAGGTAAATCATTTGATTGACTGATTCGATCCACAAAAAATCATTCTTATACAGGTAAAAACGATGATAAACATATATTTTTAATCTATAATATGAAATTAAACAGACCTAGAAAAATCCAATTGCACGCATTCGCTTAATCTATTTATATCTATATTTATGTTTACATCGCTTATATGGTCATCGGATGACTTTGGAGTTCAACTCGATAGTTAATTAGATTAAAATACACACGAAACGAAGCTACGTATTATCATGCCCATACCCTGTTAATTGTTTATTTTAGATTTTTAATAGTTTGGATAAATGTTTTACATTGTTATAAATCAAATATGAGAATTTGAGTCATATCTGTGAACATGAATTTGACAGCTAGTGCCCCTTTGAACGTCTCATCTAACCAATTAGATACGTGGAGTGGTTAAATTGGAAACCAATTTTGTTATCTTTTGTCATTGAGTTAAAAACAAATTTTTGTTTCTGTATATAATTGATTTTTTCTATTTTTATTATTGATGACACGGTGAAAAAAAAATGTCCGCCAACACATAATAAATGATTTACGGATTCATCAGGCAAATTAATAAGCTGATGTAATAAACGAGATTTGTTTTTATCTTTACCAACCTTTCAGTTCAATAAATATAACCATATTTTTTTACGCTAGGATAAACATAAATAAATCTCTCATTGTTGTTTTAAACATCATAAGATTGAGAATTTATAGATCTAGTAATAACACGTCCAACATGTACTTTCGTTTTAGATTTGTGCTTCTTTCTCTGGCATGGACAAATAGCAAACGAGGCCAAATTATTATTATATTTGGATATTTTTTGAGGCATTTTTCAGACAACGTCATATGTTATTTAACGACTTTATACAATCAAAATATGTTTTCATAAACACAAAAGGAGAACTCGTCAAATAAGTATGGATAGAGAACAGAACGAGTGTATTTACTACATCTTTAAAAAAAAGAAGAAAAAACTGATTTGCTATGAAGACCATATAAAACTATTCTGGTTACAATTTAGTGTTTCAATTTGTATTCAGTTTTAAAAACTAGATGTTAGTTTAGTTTTGAAAGAATGCTCGATTTGTCTCCCTTATCCCATCATGACATAACAGAAACTTAAATAGCATTATATTATTTCTAATATTTATGTTTTATTTATTGAATAATTGACCACTACTGTTTATAATGAATGCCACTTTAAGCACTCTTGCACAAGTCGTGGCGGTCAATTATTTGGGTAGGGGCAGTCATACTACCAGGAGAGAACCACCGACATTTGCCTTGAAAACAAACTGACAATCCGACTTAATTAAGATCGGAATTGAATGCAACTGCCATCAGAGGTGTTTAAACTCACAACATAAGTATTGACAGGATAGTTCTCGCTGTAGATATAAGTAAAATAACAAAATAACGAACTCAAAAGAAAATTCAAAACGGAAAGCCCATTATCAAATGGCCAAATCAAAACGCAAACACGAATGGAAAACAACAGTCATAATCGTAACTTGGTACATTAATTTCTTTTTGTAGAAAATGATGAATTTAACTTGGTTCTATAGCTAGCTCAACAGAAATAATTGGTAAAAATGTCAAAAATTAAGTTACAGCAGTGAACATTGAGTTTGAATCTAAATCACTGTAAAAAAACAAACAACTATGTCAACGAAGAAAACAAAATGGCACAAAATAGACACTCTATAGGCAAATCACATAAGCAAAACTATAAGACAAGAACACAAACAAATACCGTAGCACAATAACACAACAGCGGGATGTATAAATACCGAGCCACCCCAAAAGAATATAACTAATTACTTTACAAGACTCTCATGTATTATTTGTGAAGTGAATTCGGAATATTTGTCTCGTTGGCAATCGTATCCACATCTCCTTATTCTATATTATACAAGACTACACTATCATGAATTGAATGTTCGTTATGTTATATATAGTTATCTGACTTTGGGTAAAACGAGCTGCTGTGATCAATGGTGATATTATCATGATTATAAATAAATTATTATGAACTACTGTGACAGCTCGGCCACAGGGTCCCCTTTGATTATTAGATATTCCTTCACATACATCTATGGTACGATATGTTTTTTTATTTTGTGGATCCCCAATTACACTCTTTATCGAGATGACTATCGTTTACCATTTTTCTGCTATCCGAATACAAAATCTCAGTTCAACTGTTTTCAAGGTTAATATATGTCAATCCTGAATTCAAACGTTAAATTATTGATTTGTTTTATGAATTCATGCATGGTTAATGGGCTATTTTCTGTTGGCAGTCATATCATTACCGGACATGGGTCAAAAAGCATTGTTATGTTTACTGACATTTTTCCCACAAACTTTTTAATGCAATTTTACAAAAAATGAGTCGAAAAATACATGATTTATATTCGATCTCTTAATAGATGCAATCATGTCAATGATATCAGGAAAGTTATAAATTTTACGACCACATGATAGGACGGCATGATTTCAACAAGTAAAAAATTCGAGATTGTTTTAAGATACTATGGACACACTTTGAGACGATATTGTATGCCTCTACCGTAGCGGGGGAAAGTATTACCCTTGTCCATCTGTACGTCCACCCGTTCGTACGTCCGTACGTCCCGAAATTTGTTTCCATTCTGTAACTTTAGTTTGCCTCAACCAAATGTTATGAAACTTATACACAATGCTTATTACCAAAAAACACAGATCATGTTTGAATTTGAGTGGTGTCACTTTTACCTATCTAGAGTAATGGCACTTAACAATTTTTCTGTTTTGTTCTCTAACTTAAGTTTGCCTCAACCAAATATTATGAATCTTATAAACAATGCTTATTACCACAAAACACAAATCAAGTTTGAATTTTGGTGTCATCATTTTTACTGTTCTAGAGTTATACCCCTTTACAAATGTAAAAATTGCTGAGTTTTTAGTTTCCATTCTCTAACTTAAGTTTACCTTAACCAAATGATATGAAACTTATACACAGTGCTTAACAATGCTTATTACCACAAAATTCAGATTAAGTACGAATTTGGGTAGCTTCACTTTTACCGTTCTTGAGCTATGTCCCTTTATAACGTTATATGCAAGCGGGGGTATCATCTGTGTCCTATTGACACCTTTCCAATTTTCATGGAACAGATAATGATCATCAGTAATGGTCAAGATACTGAGGTTAGATATCCCAACTTATCTTAATTACCTTAGTTATCTCCCTTGATATTTTAAAATATTAACAAAAATACTCTAGTTTTATAAATAGTTCATAAATAAGTTAACTCATATAATTTTCTTCATTAGAATGAATGTCTGAAAAATGAATTACATTCCTATCTTAAATTTTCATAATTCATGAAAGATATAGAATGATTTGTATGCCTCTGTCCCCAGACGAAAGGGGCCATTGAGAGTTGTCCTTGTCCGTCTGTATGCCCGTACGCATATCCCAAAATTGGTTTCCGTTCTCTAACTTTAGTTTGCCTCAATCAAATATTATGAAACTTATACACAATCCTTATTATCATAAAACACAGATCAAGTCGAATTTAGGTGACGTCACTTTTACAGTTCTCTAGATGTGTCCCTTTAAAACGTTATATGCAAGCTGGGGTATCATTTGTCTCCCATAGACTCATTCATTACTACTGTTTTACTTCCAACTATGTTCTTACTGACTGATATACCTATATTATAGAGCTGAGGGCTTTTTCAGACTGATTTTAATTTGCAGTTTTTATGTATACCCTTTTTATCACACTGGTCGAGATAAAGGAAAAAAGGGAGGTTTCTGGAAAATGATTAGGAAACTAGTTTTAACATTTTAACAATTATCGAAATTTCTAGACTAGGGGAGGCTTAGCCTAGAACTTAACATACAAATTGTTTATTTTCGCAAACCGTATGTTTACCTCTACAGTGTTTAGTGTCGTCGGGATGTTGTCACATTGAAGTTAACCCTGATATTCGTCAATTGATATATTAGTCTGACGGGTCTTAGTTTATGTACAGTATTTCAACTCTTCGGATATAATTTCGAAACTCGTTCTTGCTTGGTGCCATAGACCTTCGATCTTAATATTGGCAGTTTTCTTGCCGAAGGTCGGTGGTTCTCTCCGGGCACTTCGGCGTCTTCCACAAATACATACTGGTCATCATGCTATAGCCACGAGTGCTAAAAGTGGCGTTCATCACCAAAAAACTAATCAATCAAACATATATAAGTCTGAAATGAATATTAACTTGCCTAAGCAGTTTATTTGATAATGATTGTGCTCAATGGAGGATGTGTGCGTAATAGTAACAAGCTTTTGGGCAGTGAACCAACTATGTATATAGATATGAGAAGATGTGGTATGAGTGCCAATGAGACAACTCTCCATCTAAGTCACAATTTTAAAAAGTAAACCATTATAGGTCACAGTGCAATCGTCAACACGGATCCTTGGCTCACACCGAACAGCAAGCTATGAAGGGCCCCAAAAATTACTAGTGTAAAACCATAATATATTTAATTTATTATTGTCTTCAATCATATGTTTTTTTTTTTCTCACTTGGACGAACTCATTCTGATTATGTCTTAAAAGAACCTGTATCAGGATTATTTTAAATGCAATTTTCTTATACATGGAATATTTCCTTACAGAAGATTTCCCGTTTATATTTTAAAGAGAAATATGCAGAGTGCCTATATGTATCTCCAGAGAAAGCTGCAGTACATCTACAAAATGTTAGAGGACCAATGCAAACAAGTGCCGAACGATGCACGACAGCCCAGATACTGCAGATATATTACAAAATTTGCCTCTCATTTCGGGAAAGAGTGGTGTATGGTGGCGGGGAGCACGGCAGAAGGAACCAGACTGCGGTCGAACATAAACGAAGGAGACTTTGATTATCTTATCATATCAGGTATATCCATACTCGTAGACGCTTTGGAACACAGAGAGGGTCTACCTTGTTTTGTTCACGTCAGAGGTGACAAAATTCAACACTCATTTTCACACAGTTTGGTAGACGGGAAATACCTGAACAGCCGTATTCTAAAGGAAGTTGACGGTGAAGCTTTTAAAATAATGCGGGGTCTGTTTCAGGTCTTTACAATGCCATTTGATTCTACGGGTAAACATTCTCATGATGTTGACTTCAACCGTGAAGCTAAACCTGGTATATGTAAAGAACACTACGTCGGCTTCCAGTGGGTTGATGAAGATGCCGAGAATATATACATGAGAAAACAGGAAACAGACATGAGGGCTACAAACAATTATTTCCAATCAGTAATGGACTCAAGTGATTTATCTCCCTGTATGAAATCTCTTCTTACTAACCTTCTTAGTATTCTTGCTGAAACAGAACCAAACGACGATTCAAGTACTGCGATGGGTCAAACATTTGGTGGGTTGATCGAAGCAGTCATCTCTGATTCTGCGATCGCCAAATCAACTTCTTTTCAGCCGAAAAGAAGCAAACAGAGTATAGGGGAAAACGACAGAAATAACATTGACGATGCATCCAGCAAAAAGGTTTTCAGGGTTAAATTTAACTACAAATCAAGCAAAGATTTTATTGCTGCATTTCCTCTTGAGGGAAAGCTCAAATGTTTTGAAGAATGGAGAGTTCGGATACTGACCAGTGACAAAGTATTGTGGCCAAGCTCAGAAACAGTCGAACGGATCTGTCAGTCGGATGTGTAAGTTGTAGCCAAGCCGGCAATTGTCAACCCTTCTGCCGATATAGATTTTTGCCTAGGCTTCAATCAGGCGGAACTTATCTTAGCTTCTAGCCTTAGTTCTGATCAAAGACTATGTGTCCTACTTCTAAAAGCCCTCCAAAAAGGGATACCTTGAACATTATTCTTCACTGCTTACCACTTTTCACTGGAAAACTGCCTTTTACCATCAGTGTGGACAAATCGATCCTGCTCTCTTTGATCGTCATTCTACAATATTGTTAGCCCTCGAAAGCTTAAGTATATTGTCATACATGATAGAGTGTTTAGACAGAAGATATCTCAAGCACTATTTCATAAAGAGCAATTTAATTGCTCATATTACTGAGACAGAAGCCATGGAAATCCGAGAGAAGATCAAAGAAATCATTTCAGATCCAGAAGCAGCTCTCCAAGTGTATTTCGATATGAATAAAGAATGCGAAAGCTCAAAACAAGAAGAGGAGATTTCTATGAGAGAAATGGAAGAAATGAAGAAACGAAGAAATGATCCGTCAAATAAAAAACCAGCCGACAAAATAATTAGCATGATGAATTATTTACAGAAAGTAGCCACCAGCAACGATTCTAAACTCACACAAACTATTATGGATACGTTGTATATGGTAATTGAGGAGGAAACAGATATTCCATTTGTTAGACCAAATACCACACAGAAGCAGTGTAGCCTGAACGATCTCTTGGCACATGCTACTAGTTATTCCACAACAAACTTTCCCTCACGAAACGAGAAGAAAAAGGCATTGGAAGACTTAAAGGCGAAGGCGTTTGCTACATTTCTATCTTCTTTCGATCTAAGTGAGCGTGAACTTGTTTAGAATATGTCGGCTATTCAACATACTGTAGCGTTATATAAACTAGTTTATGAATAACATTTAGATTTCTTAAGAAGGTAGTAATATGTATTTATTCGACTGGACCCCTTTCAAAATTTTAAATTCAGTCGACTAATCTATATGTATCTGACTCTGTGATACAAGCATGCACTTTTTCATTGCTTCGGATTTCTTTAAGTGAGTGTAGAAATTTTGTTCAGTTGGCTTTAAATACTTAACTAATTAATTGGTTTATATTGTCAGGAATTCGAAACATATAAAATATAATAGAATCACTAAAGTACGCATATTTTACTTATTATCTAGGGCATAGAGGCATAATACGTTAGGCATTTTCGGCTCTCATAAACCACTGATATTACCTATATACATTGATATTAAACTGTTTGCTTTGTCTTTTATTGTAGCCTTTTATGTATATTTTTAGGAAATATTTTCATTTTATTTTCTATTGATATCGTATATAAATCATTTTAGATTACCATTTCTTATTATTATATCGGGCTTTTTACAATTGTTATACAAAATATACAAGAATAATTGCGAAATTTCATTTTATGTTCGGTTGGCCTTAGGTAGCAATTTTTGAAAATAAATAGTTTGTAGTGAAATACTGTTTTTGTTAATTTTTTCATCATGTTTCTAAAGTGATGCGTCTTCTTTGCCTATTCACAGAGTCCATTCCAAAATCATCAATAAATTCACAAAAGGTTTAATATCAAAATAAGAAGATGTGGTAAGATTGCCAATGAGACAACTCTCCACCAGAGACCAAATGACATAGAAGTTAACAACTATAGGTCACCGTACGGCCTTCAATAATGAGCAAAACCCATACCGCAAAGTCAGCTATAAAAGGCCTCAAAATGCCAAATGTAAAACAATTCAAACGAGAAAGCGAACTGCCTGATTTATGTACAAAACAATGAAACGAAAAACAAATATAAAATACAGCAACAAACGACAACCACTGAAAAACAGGCTCCTGACTTGGGAAAAACACATACAGAATGTGGCGGGATTAAAATAGTTTGAAGGCGCCAACCCTCCCCCTTATCTGAAACAGTGGTGTAACAGCACAACACAAGAACAACTATGTTTGCACCTGTCCTAAGTCAGGAATCTGATGGTCAGTAGTTGTGGTTTGTTGATGTGGTTCATAAGTGTTTCTCGTTTCTCGTTTTTTATATAGATTGGACCGTTGGTTTTCCCGTTTGAATGGTTTTACACTAGTGATTTTTGGGGCCCTTTATAGCTTGCTGTTCGGTGTGAACCAAGGCTCCGTGTTGAAGACCGTACTTTGACCTATAATGGTTTACTTTAAAATTTTGACTTGGATGGAGAGTTGTCTCATTGGCACTCATACCACATCTTCTTATATCTATAAAACAATAAACGAATTACACTTGGTTATACTAGTTTGTTGGCGCCAAACCCTCCCCCTAACCTGGGATAGTGGTGTACAACATAAAAACAAATTAACATATAAAAGTCATTTGAAAAGGGCTTAACACATCAGATCGATACAAAGCAGAAAGACATCAAATAAAAATACAAACCGGGCGTGGCAGGGTATTTATACATCCCTACAACAAAAAAGACACTAAATACAGATCTGAGAGTATTTGCAGTTACTGACAGCTAGTTCCAAAAATGACTAATAAAAATATCATGCATCCAAGAATAAAATATCAATCAGTACACATCCAACATCCAATGGATTTAGAGTAAAGACGTAATTAATAGTCAGAGAAAAACATGACCTTGTGCCAAGCCAATATACAGGTATTGACAGATTGTAGAGCCATGAATATGCATATGTATATAAAAATATTATTTTGTTTGATTTTAATTTACTGATAACACAATCAATATAAATACCAATAAAAACATATTTTAAGCATTGAACCCACCCCCACTCTAATCTCAATCAGTGTTACAACATACAATTAAAAACATATTATTTTCAAAACAATCAATTCATGAAAAACACTTAAATATATAATACCGGTATTATGATCAATAGATAACAACAACACTACCAAATATAACACATCAAAGATGACTCAGTTACTGAAATCTAACTCAAAGTACTTAACCTGTTGATTTAGATATCATACGGTCCCACGTTTTAACATCGGCGGCTGTATTTCCGATCAGATTTCATAAAGTAACGTATTGGAAAACAAAGGAAGACAACTAAATGAAATAATTAGTACTTTTTAAAGCAAATGTTAATTTCCTTTTCAAATATTTCCAATGAACAGTCTAATGTTCATGTATTTTTGACTAAATAGAGAAATAAAGATGCGGGAATGACAAACACTTGCATCAATTATAAAGGATTGGTAATTCACAGAGACAGAAATACTAAAGATGGGCATTAATTACGATTTATACAGTTTAAGTTAAGACATAATGAATAACACTTCGAATTCAGCAGTCAGTTGGATTAAATAGTGTAAAAAAAAAAATGGAAAAAAGCTAAGGTCGCAAATACATGAAACTTACCAGAATCATAAAAAAAGTGTATATTTCAAAAGAAACAATATTGGTATTACACTAGTTTCACAATAGAAATGCGGCTTCATTTTTGAAGTGATAATAGAAGTAATGAAATGTCGTTCTTGTGACCTTCTTTGATTCAACTGAGACAAGTCTGTTTCTCTAAAGAAGTAGATTAACATAAGCTAAAAACATATTATGAATGAAAATTGCGTTTTTTTATATTCATTCAGTTCAAATGTGCTGTTCGAAAATATCTTAATTAAGACAATGAAACCAGCAACCACGCGTGCAATTCCCATATTGCTAAATTATTTCAACAAACAGTTAAGGTTTTTTGGCAGTTAACTTCTAGGAAGCATCTAATGGATTTAATTTTGACAGGCTGTGACATTAAATGTTGACCTCTGTCTAGTACAAAACGCGTTTGGTGTTGTTTGCGATCGCTGCGTTAGGATTTTGTAATGAAGGAGCCACTAAAAGGTTATATTACGCGATGTGACTTGTAGTAAAAGATCACAAACATACATTTTCCATTTCGTATTTGCATGAACCAAGTGGCTTAATTAAATTCTTATACATGTAATTTTAAAAAGATAAAGAGTCTGAGTACATGGTTCCTCGATTTAAAACCACCACTGAGTCGATGCAACTGATCCCAGAGCATCATTAACCACTACTTTTTACTTTCCTAAAATGCACATTAGAAGTTGAACGGTAAAAAGCTGACAATACAAAATTGACTCAAGCTAGCGAACCATAAGCCCGCGAAAAAATAGGTTGTATTAAGTTTTTTTGCATTTAATTAAGAAATCACAACACTAAGGTACTCATATTTTAATAATGGACTGTGATATTATAGGAAGGGCATATTTTACTCGCATTTGCCAGTGACATTATCCCTTTCTTGATATTAAATGTTTTTTCCATTTCCCTTTTCGTGAGCTCTTTGTATATTTTACAAATATTTAAGTCTATTTTCATTTCCTTTTACCGGTATATAATTTTATATTTTTCTTTTTTTTTAACTATATCATGCGTTTAACAATTGATATTCACTATACACATTTTGCTTTATTTCGTTTTATATTCAATTCGCTAAATGTGTCCATTTTACAAATAGATACTTAGATAAAAGAAAGGTGAAAGATACCAGAGGGACATTCAAACTCATAAGTCGAAAATAAACTGACAACACTATGGCTAAAGAAGAAAAAGACCAACAGGCGAACAATAGTACACAAAACACAACACAGAAAACTAAAGACGGAGCAACACGAACCCCACCAAACCTGGGGGTGATCTCGGGTGCTCCGGAAGGGTAAGCAAATCCTGCTTCACATGTGGCACCCGTCTAAACCTTTTTATAGATAATAAATTTTTTTCCGTTTCTTTTATGGTAGTTTTCAAGGGTATTATTCAAAGTAGATTCTTTAAATCCCTATATTGATATCTAATCTATTTTATATTCATCTTTTTGTTATCATGCTTTTTTACAATTGTTATTTAATATAAACATTTTCGATATTTCATTGTATATTTATCATGTGTCAATTTTACAACTAAATAACATGTAATATCCACCTATTTATTGATATTGCACTTTTTTGATAGCTCTTTGGCATATTCTAGAAATATTTGTAGTTTATTTCCAATTCCTATATCTGTTTATAAAATATGTAACATCAATATTTTTTAGTTACTAGAATATCATCATTTTTACATATATAATTTATTATTAACATTTGGTTCTGTTTCATGTATATTGAGCTAACTTGATGTGTCAATTTTGCAAATAAATAACACGTAGTGAAATACAGTTTACTTATATATATATTTGTTCATTTTTTATGAGCGTCTTCTCTACCCTATTACAAATATCATTCTTAAAGCATCAATGATTGAATGAAACATGAACAATAAATTCAGTAAAAAAAATCATCGTTCATTTCTGGTATTATACAGGCATACAAATTTTGAGAACGATTATCCTACTCAGACTCAGAAACAGCCAATCAAAATACTGGATTTGATGATTCGTGGAAAAATCTGAACAAATCAATTTTAGAATCATAGCATAAAATTAAATATGAATATGAAACCAACAATACATGGTAAAATGTCTTCATCTGGAGGTCACTATACGACCTTCAACGATTTATGTTTGGCATTGTCATAGCATAATATAATCAATGATAACTAGTAAAAAAAAGAAACTGCAAAGAGATTTTCACGACTAAAAATCATCAATTTAATTTCTTTGAAGACACGTGTATCTGGAATACATTCTAGCAGGTGCGATCGATATCAAAAGTTTGGAAAGCAAAATATTTTAAATTTCATGGATTAAATGCACTATTAGTTCTACTATAGATACATACTTAAGCAAACTGATTATTTGCATTAATTATTATCATTAAAAATTTTCAGTACTGAAACACTGGCAAAATATA